AAAAGATCACATATGAAAATGAAAAAAAAAAAAAAAAAAAAAAAAAAAAAAATAAATAAATAAATAAATAACAATAGGAGGCAATATTCATGCGTTAAAGTGTAACTACCGCAAATGAACTTTTGGCAGCCGTTCGAGTCGGTCGTGATTTTCAACACTTGCGCGTAGCCGCACACGGGCTGAATCGTCTCGATGCATGGTTCACCGGGACCCACTGGAATTGACACTGAAAAACAAAAAATCGTCCGGTCGTAATAAAAAAAAAACTCTTGAGAAGTCAAATCAAGTTGGGGATATGGTATAATAGAGGTGGGGACCCCTGTGGGAGATATATATATAAGGCAAAACCTCGTACCGCACGTGTATTTGGGACAGCAATCGTCCTTGGTGCCGGGGATAACGACGGCTCTCGAGCTCTGGTCGCAGACGGTTTCCTTGGCGGAGCAGCTGATCTCGTGGCACTTGACGATGTTTGGCCTGTGACACGAGCACTCGGTGCACTTGTTGGGTCGCCAAACGTCACCCTCCATGTGTCCCTCGTTGTCGCAAACGTAGCATTCACGTTCAGGTACGCAATTGTTGTTGCGCCATACTTGGCCGGGCTTACAGTAGCAACCCTCGCCATAGTTAACAGCTATGCATTTTTCCTTATTGGCCAACGCCTCGCACGTCGGCGCACAGCCTGATTCGCAAGCTCGATATTCCATATCTGTGAACGTAAGATTATTATTTCCTCCTTTAAGTTTTCTTTCCCAACAGCCGTCTCGACACTGTCGAGTTTAGCTAGGTATGTATACTAACGCCTTGGACATTGGTAGGGACACAGTTCGGGAGTGCGCCAGTCAACGCATATGCCCTCGGACGAGCAGACTCTGGCGTACGCCTCGAAATCTAGACATCCCATGGAACCGTTGCCACCCGCGCATAGGCTGTCCTTGCAAGCCAAGTAGTAGGGGGTGGGATCGACGACACCGTGGCAGCGGACAAACGGCTCGCCGAGCAGCAATCGCTCGCAATAGTTGTTCACCGACGGCTGGTCGACGCAGCTCTTTACAGGCGTGCTGGAGCACTGCCCGTCCCCACCGACAAGTCTCAGGGACGCCGGTAACGGGGATAGTTCGGGATGCGTCATTAGCCAGCTGCCGCCGAATTCTTGAGGGTCGTCGGTGACGTTGCCGTCGCGCTTTCGGAAATCGTCCTCCTGTTGGCCGTTGCAGTCGCCGCAGAGTCCCTCCATTTTTCCGCCGAATGTGTGAGACGGCACCCGAAGCGTGAAGGCAAAGTTTTGCTTGTAACTGATCAATTCCAGCTGGGCCCCAGGTATCAGGAGCCTCGTCGCGTGATCGGGAGTTTCTTGAAGGCTCAGCCAGGACGACGAGTAGGATCGTGGGTGGACCTGTACTTCGTCGACGAAGGACATTACCTGTAAAATACGGACAGAGTACCGTCAGAGGGTCACCTTTTTTTCTTTTTTCATTACGAGTAGGTCATTGATTGAGCGACGGTGTTGTCTCACCTGGTTGGTCTCGATGTCTCTTCTCATTTGTACGACGTGCGACTGATAGAGTACGGTGATGGCCTCGGTGCAAGTACCCAAATCAAGCTGGGATGATTGGTTTGAGCTCCAGTTGCACGCACCGTTGGTGACGAGGACCTTCAAGACAAGAGAACCGTTGAACGATCCGCAGCAAAGAAACGCGTTAGTTTCGATCGCGAACCAACCTGATAGGCGTGTCCGTCGTTGTCTCCCGTCAAAACTCTGTCCCTCGAGAGTAAGTAAGTACAGTTGCCGTCAAAGGGCAGATTGGTCTCATCGAAGGTAATGTACTTGGAGTTCCCGAGACCAGAGCACATGCAGTCACGGCACTCGGATGGCCTCAGGCAGGTCTCGCCATAGCGTACCAAGCCATCCGGGCAGAAACAACCAGGCACGCACAGACCATCCATGGCCGGGCACGGATTGGGCTCTTGCAAATTGTCACAGCTCATTTCGCATTTGTTTCTGCGATTTAGATTTGATTTTTTTTTTTTTTTTTTTTTTTTGGCCCCTCATCTCGTGATACCATGTATAGTTAAAAACCATCGATTGCAGCGTATTATGTACCAACAAGCGCCCAGTGAAATTAGGTCAACTGGTCAAGCGCTTGGGGTTAGCTGCTGCTACATGTTTTTTTTTTTTTTTTCTATCCTATGTAGGAATACATGTGGTTTATTCTACTGCGCGTGTACACAAACCTGAAGCAATCCTTGTGAACAAAGGGTGGCTGACAAACGGAGGGGCAATCGTAGACCGATCGCCAGGTCGACAGATCAACACTCCTGTCGGCAGCCGCGAGGCAGTTTGTCACGAAGGACGAGAGTGCCTGGCAACGGCACTCGTGACTGGTCGCATTGCTGCTCAGACACGCGCAGGTGTTCTGCATGCAACTGGTCACGAACGTTTCCCGGTCGACAGCCTTGGAGCACGATTTGAAGGTGTCATCCCTCAGTAGGGTGCACGTTTTCCAGGCTTCGTTGCGCGTTTCGCGTGGACACTCCTACCCACGAACACCACCAATTTACATGAAGGATGACGAACAATCATATGGAGGTGAAAGGGTCTCGTAAGTGACGAACCTGCAGCTTGCACTCGTTGCTGTCTTGGGCTTTCCAGCTGTCCCCGAACGCCTGGCTGCTCTTGGCTGGTTTACCCTCGGGTGTGGTTTGATCGTTGGTGGAGACGCCGTCGAAGAAGCCGCACATGCCGTCCACGTGGCCGTAGCGTTCCTCGGAGACGCCGATCTTGACGATTCCGTCGGACCCGAGCAAAACCCAGAACGGGTAGCGCCGGGATTCCAAGCGAAGCGCGTTGCCCACGCGGGACAGTTCCATGGCCGGGTGCTTGTCGCCCAGACGCTTGACTTCGCTCTGGCTGTACCTGTTGCCGTCGATGGTCGCGTGCATGTCCGGATGGAGCAGTACTCGGTGCTCGCCGAACGTCACTTCGATCGCTCGCGAGCAAGCAAGGCTCTCCCGACTCTCGCAGACTTTTTCCACTGCGCGATATCAATGAACAAACGGTTTGACAAATACTTTCATCTCTGTCGACAGACGCCCTGGTGAAAACTTACCGATTATGTACCACTCGTTGGCGTCCCGATCTCTCGTCAAAATGTGGTTGCAAGTCTCGTACTTGTACTGCAGATCATCGAACGTGGTGAACGTGTTTCCGATGATCTTGCAGACTTTCTTTTTCCTCGGAATCGGCACGCAAGTGTCGTCGCAGATTTTGTTTTTGCTGAAGCTCTTTGACCGATCATACTTTGGCTCGTAGCCCTCGGGGCACGCGACTTCGCTGCAACTCTTCACCTTTGTGTCGTTGGTTTTTACCGGTCGGCAACTGAATTTGGGACAGTACGCCTTGGCGTCATCCTCGTCGCCACCGAAGCGACTCTGGAGCTGTACCGCGGACGCTGGTACCTTTACTCTGTGGAGGAGATTCAAAAGTAATAAGTTTATCATCGCAATTACTCGAAAAAAAAAGACAGAGAGAGGGATTAATGACGACTTTCGACGTACTTGTAGACCGTTTTCGTGTACGATTCATCAATGGATTCTGTCTTTTTCACGTATTTTTTGCGGTAACCACTGCCGTAGGACTCTTTGACGTTGTCGAACTCCATTTCGTAACCAGGAGGACAAGAGGTCACGCACTGTATCTCTGTAATGCGAAATTCAAGGAACATGATACACACGACCGATTCGAGTACATGTATATATTGTATAAATTTGTCGCTGACCTATGGTAGTCTCGGTGGTCACGTAAGTCTTGTTGGTTTGGACGTGGGTGGTCTCGACTTGAGGACAGCCCCTTTCATCGTCAGGGCAATCCTGGACGCCGTTGCACCAGCGCGACTCATCGACGCAGTCGCCACTCGTTGGGCAGAGTTTCTGGCCAGCCGGACAGGGTTTGCAGAGACAGGTGCAGAGCTCGGTGAGAACGGATCGCTCCGAGGGATTCGTACAGCTTTCGCAGACCTTGGGCTGGCAGACCGACAGGCCACCAAGAGCGCAGAGACAGTGCTGGCAGTCCGGGGTCTCGTAGCTCGAGCCAACCGGGTACCTATAAGACAATTGTACAGTTTGTAACATACACGCGCCATCGAGAAAATGTACTGTATTTAAACGTCTTTAGCGAGACATACGTGACGTGGCCCACGAGGCAAGGGCACTCCTGTTTCGTGACGCAGAATCGACCGTCCCACCACAGAGGTGGTTCGCACTTGCAGGAACTGATGTCCTCATCTTTGAGGAACACGCCTTTGCAAACATTGCAGCTCAACGGATGAGGCGTCGATGTAGATGGAGGTGTCGTGGGGGTTGGCTCGACCTCGGCTATGAACAAACGTGTCACCTCTGAGCTCCCATACGAGAGATATCACACACACACACACACACACATGTACGCGCGTACATATCGTGTACAGGGTACTCACGATAAGGCTCGTAGCAGCCCCGGATCTCGGCTTTGAGGGCTATGTGTTGGTGCCACTTGGTCGGGTAGATTCTGAGGAATCTTGCCTTGATCGGTCTCTGGAAGTAATTTGTTTTGCTGCTGTAGTCGTCGACGTTGCCGAGGAACTCCTTGACCGCGTGAGTGTCCTCGTCGATTACTGGATTCCAGATTCGGCCGTTGCTGCCGTAGTAGATCTTGTAGGCAGTCGTCCACAAGCCGTTTCCACCCTTCGTCTCGACGCCAGTGAGATTCCGTGGCTCCAAGAAATCGAACTGCACGTACTGGTCGGGATTGTCCAACGACGGACGCCAAATCTCGATCGACGAGAGCCGTACGTTGGAAGCGACCACGTTGTTCAAGCCAGACGAGGAAACCGTCACCTGCTGCTCCGGCAATTTACGGTCGTCGTAACCCATCCGGTCGTCGCATACTGGTTTTTTTTTTTTCATTAAGACATAAAAAAAGAAATCGTTACGAATCGTACACCTGGTCATTAAGACCACGAAAACGTAACCATCACCATCGATCCACGTACCTGGAGTAACAGGAGTCACGGTGTACATGCTGGTCGTCGTGAATGGTCGAGAGGTCGTAGTAGTCGTCGTCGTACCCACATCCATGCAGCCGACCAGCTCGACCTGCATGGCGATGCCGTTGTGCCAATTGATCGGACTGATCCTTACGATCTTGGCCTCGATCGGTAGCTTGAATATCTGCCTGACGATTGTGCCAGCGTCTACCGGTCCCCGGTACACCTGCGGCGACCCATCCTCGTCTCCCAACACGTACGAGTACGAATGGCCATCGTTCGAGTAAAGCACCTGGTAGCCGGTGACGAATCTCTCCTCGATGACGTCGCCCCCGACGATCACCCCGTAAATAACCTCGGGTTGTTCCAAGCGCACCTCGAGCCAGGGGTTTTTGTCGCCGGGCGCCGGCCGCCAGGTGAGCATGCCGTTGACGCGGTGCAGTCGCGCCGAGCTTGGCGCGTCGCTGGGGAACTCGTAACTGCTCGCCATGTAGGCGACTTGGTCCGGTATTTTTTCAATCAACCACGTGTAGCGGCCCTCGTCGCAAACAGGCCGCGGCGGCGACGCGGTGGTCGGGACGATGTTTATGCCGACGTCCTTGCTTTCCCTGCGGCATCGCGGTTATTCACGAAAAAAAAAAAAAAAAAAAACAAAAAGAAGACAGAAATCGTGGAAAAGCTCGGCCCATCGATGGTTCATCCGAACAAAGGGACATCGTTTTTGACTCACGTGGCATTGGTCGTCGAGGTCGTGATGTTGACGTGCGTCAAAGTTTCGCTCGAGTCGGTGCAAGTGAGGTAGTTGTTGATGCACTGGCAAGCCACGAATTTTGATTTTTTAAAGATTTTCCCCGGTACGAGGGATTGCCCGTCGGGGGACTTGCAAGTGCAGTCGGATCGGTCGACGCACGTGTGCTCGTCGCGCCAGTAACTGTTTCCGCCCGAACATCCTCCGTCGACTCTGTCTCGGGGCACACAGCCGGGCGCGCAGTCTATCATCCTGTTGCAGATGCCTTTGATCGTCAACTGGTACCTGGAGTACGATTATCGGAATAAAGGTGATTATTTAGGAACTGGATGAAAAAAAAAAAAAAAAAAAAAAATCGCTGACTTGTAGTAATCGCAGGTCTTGCTGCATCTGATGGCACAGTTGTCCCAGCGCTCGCCGTCCGTGCAATTGTCTGCAACGATCAACAGGGAATCGGAGATCGGTTTATCATTACTTTGGTTTTTCAATAAAAATATCATAATAATTTTAGGGAGATCAAAGCTATTGGGGTTGGTGGTACGAAAAAAAAAAAAAAAAAAAAAAAAAAAAAAAAAAAAAAAAAAAAAAAAAAAAAGACCGACGAGTACACCCTTACCCTTTGTCACGTTCACGTGTTCCCCGCACTCGGGCCGCACGACCACGACGTTGAAGGGAAAATCGCAAATCTGCGTGTTCGGGTTGAACATGGTGCCGGGGCCGCAGGTCTTGCGCACCCACGAGTTGCCCGTGGGGCTTTGGGCGCACTGAAGAAAATCAGAACAGCCGTCCGGCGCGCTGCGGTACCGCTCCTCCAGAGAACACTCGTCCACGTACCTCGGGGTCGTGCTCGGGACGTCCTCGCAAGAGCAGAGCACTCTGATCTCAAAGTCCGGGCAGTTTGCGTTCTCCTCCTTCGAAGCCTGGCAAACGAAGCCCTTTTCCAAGCTACAGTCCACGTTGAGGCCCACCTGAAACACATATATTATGTAAATTACATCACGTTTTCCCCAGAGTGCCTCTAACTGTATATCAGGGATGATCAGAATATATATCATCAGGTATAAATCAAACCTCCTTGTAAGACAGCTTCGTGTCAGCTGTCCGGCACTGGATGTCGGCCATCCTGCTTCTCTGGCAAGCCGGCCGGTCGTCGCCCTCGCCCAGCATCTCGATCGACGTCGGCAGCTCCTCGACGTCACCCCTGACCCCCGGCTCGTTCTTCGGCCGATCCCTGTTGAACCACCTCGTCCATCCGCTCCTGCACTTGATGGTCTGCTCCCTGAAATTTATGGGATTACGGCGCTACATGAATAACGATGATAATGATAATTTATTGTAACGAGCCGATCGATCGCGCTCTCACAGTTGCGTTGGAGTTTCGGTGGTGATGGGTCCGCAGGGGCTGCCCGTGCAAACGACCTTGCCGCGACTGCAGTGGCACTGGTGGCACTCGTCACCGCGAACGAAATCACCCTCGTAGAACTTGTTGCCGTCGATCACCCGGCACAGAGTCTGGCAGGTGGCGCGTGGCACGCACTCGGCGCGGGTCTCGTTGGAGTAGACCTCGCCCTCGGGACAGGCCTTGAACGCGCAGCCCTCGACGCATGTGTCCCGGTCGCACATGTGCAGCCCGTCCGATCGAGTGGCCAGGTTGTCGCAGGTCTCGGGTGGACAGGTCGACACGCAAGGCGAGTACTTGGAGCACGACTCGTCGCACTGCAACGGGCACAGGCTTTGGCTGCGCCACTGAAACACAATAATCGAATGTCGTTCAAGACATAATAATAAGGATATAATAATATATCTCATCGATAACAAAATGTACCTTGATGGGTACGCCCCTGGCGTTGCACTCGTGAGCGTAAGCGGCGATGGCCGTGCAGAGGCACTCGCAGTCCCCACCAGAGTCGCATCCGCACACGTCCTGAGTGCACCGGTCAATGTACTCGTCGGGCGCGACTTCGGAGTGACAGGGTTCGAACAGGGCCGATTTCATGATGCGACAGCGCTGGGTGGACCAGAGCTTGCGCTCGGGATGGCGGGCACAGGTGTCGGGCTGGTGTTCCTGGGGCTCGGCGCACAGCTCGCTCAGTTTCCAGGAATCGGCGAACAGCCGGACCGAGACCTCCTGGCCCCCCGACGGGGTTTTGAAGTCATTGGCCGCGTCGTCGTCAAAGTCACCGCAGAGGCCGCGAGTTCGGCTCTTGTACTTTGTGTCGAGTCGCAGGTAAACCCGAGTACCTTCGTCCCACTGCAGCACCAGACCCAAATCCGGCACGTCGGCGAAAATAAATAGACCGGCCCGTCGGACGGCTATTCTCTCTGAGATGTGAAAATGTCCCTCTTGTTAACGAAAACACACATTCTTGGTTGACGTATCCATAAACTGATCTATATGTGCTCACCGAGGCCTTTGAAAGTGTCGTCGGTCAGGCTCTTGCCGCGGGTCAAAGTGAGGCTCTCGCGTTGGTGGGCCTTTCCCACCGTCAGCGTGACGGATTTGACACAGGCGACCCCAGTCGTGCCGCAGGCGACGTTGCGAATCGTCACCTCGAAGGTTTCGGAATCGCTGAGCGAGCCCTTGGCCAGGACGTAGTCGCACATGCCCTGGAAATCAAACACCCGGTCGTCGAAGCTCTTGTAGTGCGAGTCTCCCCACACCGAGCAGACACCTGGAAGACGATTTAATAAGTTGTTCGTACACACACACACACGCGCGCGCGCTGGCGTAAAAAAATACACTCACCGGGGCAGAGGATGTCGGTACAGTTCCACTTGCCGGCGTGGCAGGTGCAGGTGTTGCACTCCTCCTGCATGACCGATCCCTCGTTGTAGCTCTGGCCACCGTGGTAACAGGGACAGTCTTCCTTTCTGACGCACTTTTTGCTCGGCAGATCCAGCACGTAGCCGGCCTTGCAGACGCAGCCCGGCCGGCAAATCGCCGGACTGTGGCTGACCGGTTGGTGCATGTTGCGACAGGTCTGTGGCTCGGCGGGCTCGCAAGTCGTCACCTCGTAATGCTCGAACGGGCTGCACAAACTCTTGAATTGCTCTACAGGCGGATAATCGCGAATCTCCTCGACCGTCGCTGGAAGACAGTTCCACAGGCCGGCTGGGACATGACATTATTTCGTTTTTCAATCATTTGTATAATCATCGCACACATTTATACACGCATTTCTTGGCTTTACCTGCGCAGGTGCAAGTCTCTTGGGTCTTGATTCCCGGTCTGACTTCCTTGTAGCCCGCCAAAAACTCCAAGCCCGCGTAGCTGCAGGGACACTGTCCTATGGGGATGCACTCGCCGTTCACGTCGAGCGTGTATCCTTTTGGAACGAGCCAAGAAAAGAAAGTTAAACTTGAATTTCAATCAGGAAAAAAAAAAAAAAAAAAAAAAAAAAAAAAAAAAAAAGAAAAGATTGTAATATGATGTACCGATTGGACAGTTGCAGCCCTCAACGCATTCCTCCTTGCACGGGCCATTGAAGGAGATGTCGGCGCATGATCTGGTGCAGCTGCTGCCGCACATCTGGTATTCCTGGTCGCCCGGGCAGTGGATCTGGCATTCCGGGACCTCGTGGCGCCACTGGAGGATGGCCCCGAGCTGGGCGCAATCCTTGGCGTAGGCCGAGAGCGTCGGGCACAGGCACACTTCGACCTTGGCCTCGCACGCGCACATGTCGTACAGGCAGTCGCGGTAAAACGGATCCGGGTCCACGTGCCAGTGGCAAGCTAAAGTAATATTATATGTATATTAACATACAGTGGATTTTTCAAAGCGACACAAAATACAATGTGGCTTATAATTACGTGAGAACAATTTCCTCTTCAAAACGGCGCAGTACTTTTCGGCGGCGGCCCGCTTCTGGGGGTTCCGATCGCACGGGTGCTCCGAGTCCTTTTCCACGTTGGCGCACTGCTCGTTGGTCTTCCACTTGTTGGCGAATGCCACCGCCGACTGTTCCACGTCGCCGTCGGGCGTCAAAAAGTCGTCCTTCTGATTTGCCGTGAACGTCCCGCAGAGACCCCTCGTTTTCCCTATTGTACACGTGGACCCCATCAAGAGTTTATACAGGTATATACCACTTGTACACGCGTGACCGAAATGATGGAAACTCACCGCGAAAGTGTGCCGGTGCATTGACGTAGGCGCGAGACACGCCGTCCCAGGTGACCTCGATGCCATTGGGCAGCTCGACGCTGACGAAGATGCTGCTCACGATCCGTATCTTGGCTCCACCGGCCGTGATCGGCAATTTACCGACGTCCTCCCCGTTGACCAATATCTGCCGGTTCTGCTTGAGCTTGATGGCCACGCCGTTCAGCCGTATGGTCACGGCTCGCGTGCACGAGGGCTCGCCCTCCTGGTAAGCCCGAGAAAAGCCCATCATCTGACCAAACGACAATCGAAGGGACATTACATTATATATATCTCGATCGACGTCAAGTTGATCAACTCAACTCACTTCGGATATGACGCTGGGGCAAGCAGCGTTTTCCGCCTCGACGCTGTAATTGTCGGCTTTGACGAGGTAATACGAGCAGTGGCCCATAAAGTCGTACCGTTTGCCGTCGAAGGTCGTGTAATGGGGATCGCCCACGGCGCTGCAGCGCGCGCTGCACTTGCTCTCGGTGCAGTGCCATCGGCCCTCCAAGCAAGTGCAACTGTTGCAATCCTTTGGCACGCTACTCCCCGGGGCGAAGGATTTGCCCCGCAACGGGCACGGGCACTCCTCGAGCGGTATGCAGTTGCCACCGTGCATTACGGTACCTGGGGGGTTTTTTTGTTTTTAATCATACATATATGTATATGTACGTGAGGAGCCAATCCAACAGTACAATCTATTTATAGCGTGTGTTTATGTATACCGGTCGGGCAGAAGCAGCCCTCCTCGCACTCGTCGCTGGGTTGCATCCTCGTGACGCCTTTGACCGGCAAAGCGGTGGCCTCCTCGACGCTCGACGACAGGTCAGCTCCGCAGATCGGTTGGGATCGCGGTCCACAGGCTGAGTAAACCTTGCCGCCCGTGCACTCCATCGCTATACGGACCGAAAGCGCAAAAGTTTACATATTAATCGAGACGCCGACAAATGATCCATGTACAATATTGTATACTCACGGCAAAAGCTCTCGTTTCTCCAGCCGGTCGCGCGCACGAGGCCCTTGTGCTCGCACTGGCGCAAATAAACGCTCATTGTGTCGCACGCGTATCTCCCCTTGGTGGCTGTGGTACCGGTGGCGTTCAGGCTGGCACAGTAGCCCCACCGGCAGGCGGCCTCGATTCCCGCGAAATCGACAAACTCGGCGCAGCCCCTGTAACGCCCGTCCGACAACAATTGGGCGCAAAACTCCCTGGCTTCGCGCTCGTGCTCTTCCTCGCGGCACGAGCCGTCGCGTTGGATGTACTCCTCGCAGTTCTCTGAAACATTCGGACGATGAGTTTTTTTTTTTTTTAATTTAGCTCGGGTGGGTACCCTCGCGGACAGATGAGTCTCACCCCCGATGTCCTCGAGTCGCCACGCGGTGGTCACGTGCGCGGGGCTGCTCCTGATGCCGGCCAAGTCGTCGCTCCTGTCGCCGTTCATGCTGCCGCAGAGGCCGTCCGTTCTGTTCCAGAGGGACTCGCTCGCCTCGAGCTGGACGAGGCCCGCGCCGTCCCACTTGACGAGGAGGCCGACGGGGTCGAGCGAGACGACGAGCCGATTGCCGGTGGCCGCCTCGACTCGCAAGTTGGTCAACTGCGACGGGACGGCCAGTGGCTTGCCACCCGCCCGGAACTCGGGCAGGCCGGTCTTGCCCCGGGTGAGCGTGTACTCCTTACCCTGGACGAAGATGCGCACCAGTCGGTGGCAATTGTAGTAGCTGTTGCAGCTCGGCTCGTTCTGCACCGCCACCGTGAAAAGGCCGTCCCGGGTGTCCTTGAGCAGAGTGTAGGCGCAACGGCTCTCTGCAATCCAAAGTTTACAATCTCGTGTCACGTTACATTATCTCTCTCTTTCTTGCTGCACCTCGTACCGAAGCTGTAGACCTGGCCATCGAAGGTCTTGTAGTGCGTGCCGGCCCAGGTGAAGCAGGTGCCGGGGGTCGGTTTGATCCTCATCCCAGCAGTGGCTCCCTCGATTTCATTGATTATGGTCACGTTGTTGTTGTTGTTGTTGTTGTTGGTCATGGTACCGTGTTTTTGCGAGTAGCCGATGATGCCCCTCCCGTCGCTACTCAGCGAGCCGTTTCTGCCGGACAATGATCCGTAGTTGAATTCCCGTTGATACGATGAGCCACTGGTGTTGGCCATTTTTTTCCCGTGGCCGGTGGTTGACTCGTCGATCGACGCCCACGACTCGTTTCTCGCGTGGTGGACGTAAGAGGTGCTCTGGTACGAGCCCTGGGAGACCAGGCGGACGCCGGCCGGCGGGACGCATTGCGGTATCGGTTGCGGCTCGTACCGGCCGGTCGCGTAACTGCAGACGTATTTTGGCGCCGGGGCGAACTCAAACTCGATGCCAGCCGGGCAGGACAGGCTACAGGCGAAACTCATCCCGTCGGGGTTGCTGCACACGTACGCCCCGTTGAAGCCCAGCTTGTCGCTCGAGCACGCGTCCTCCCCTTTGTACATACGTATCGTATGCGTTTGATTTTCATACATATAATATATACATGTAGCTCATGGAAGTTGGATTGAATCGACAATAAGTTACTCACGGTACTGGCACTGGTCGCCGCGAAAACCTCGCGGGCACTGGCACACGTTCAGGGACAGGCAAACCCCTTCGTTCTCGCAAGGTGGATTGCAAACAGCTGTAGACAACAATTTTTATGTATTCGCTTATACCTGCATCGAGATGGAAAAAAAGTAAAAGGTGATTATAATATGTATGTGTATATGGGTTATACGTTGACAATCCGGTACGGCGACCCAGTCGCTTCGAGTGGGCTCCCAGTTTCCGTGTTTGCATATGAGGTTCGCCACTGACGAGCCGTCGGGGAAGACAAAGTTGCTCAAGCAGGTGATGGTGCAGGTTCTGCGGGGACAGCCAGGATACACATACATATATGTATATGTATACGTACAGGAGGAAAAACTCAACAACAAAGTGTATATATCATATACTCACTTGGAGTTGCACTTTCTCTGAGCATTTTTGGACATGGGTGGGCGATTGAGGCACGGTTTGTTCTCGAACTGGCACTGGGGTCCTGAGAAGTTTTCCGGACAGTCGCATTGGTTAGGCGCGACGCAGATCCCGCTGTTGTGGCATTCCGGCAAACAGATAGCTGCAACGCAAACGCGACGTTTCAAGGGATGATCCAATTTGACGGTGGTGAAAAATGGAAAAATGAAGGAAAATAAAAAAAAAAAAAACTCACGCTCGCAGTGGGGAGCGGCCGAATCGTAGTTTCTCCCGTGAATTTTCCAGGCTCTGTTGTGGCAAGTGATCGCGAGCTCGAGTTCTCCGTTGGGAAATCGGTAGCCCTCGATACACTTGGCCTTGCACTCGCTGCAAATAATACACACCGAAGGACACGGGATGAAGGTAAAATATTAAACAGAGTTCGAAACAAACAATAATACTATATACATATAAATAAATACCTTTTGGACGAGCAGGTAAGAATACCGTTGATGATGGGAAGCGACTCGGGGCTCGTCGGGCAATTACCGATCGCGTGCAGCTTCGACTTGTGCGACGATTTGATCTTTTTCATTTTAAACGAGCGGCCTTCGTCGCTCAACGTCTGATCGAAGCTGAAACTATACAACGATTCGTATATGGATTTACTTATTATATTTATCAAACGATTGAAAATGGTGTACGTATAGTGGTTTTATCCTCACTCGGAATTGTCAGCCAAAACCGCGCCCAGCGCCAACAGGACGAGCGCGACAAGTGATGGCACACTCGTCATCTTGAGATTCGTGCAGTTGACAATAATAATAATAATAATAATAATAATAATGATGAAAAGGTAATGTATTCAATATCAATTGGTGTTAAACGAAGACGCCTCGGACCCCCATATGTATATAATAATAAATTACACGCAAGGGAATAAAAAGAGAGAGAGTCCTTATATATTATAACTATATCAGTCCTTCTATCGTCGTTTCGTCGTACATACTCTGGAGAGCCGGTCGGCGTGCCGGTTTTTATAAACCGACGGCAACAGGAAGGGTTGCTGATAAATCTGGGTCACTTTAGATAATGTAAAATTCGATGGATGTTGGTGAAACACGCACATACAAGCAACCACAGCCACACAGAGCGAGAAAAAGAAACTGTTGTTTTTCAACGTGTGTTATTTGGCCCCCCCTTGTGAGTATGTATACATGCATCATATATATATATGATCATACATTACCACAGATTTTTTTAGCTGTATAGCTATTTTACGGATACCTATCTTAGTTGTACGGGTATGATTGTGACGATATTATTGTCACACGTGTGTATATGCCACTCGTGAAGTACGTATAATTATGTATTTGGACGTGTAAGAGAATTGCTCGTTGTTTTGGACGAGAGGGAGATAACGTTCTGGTGTGGATTTTGGATTTAACGAGCTCGGTATTTTTGGGATGTTCGAGACTTTATGTGTGTTTCAATTAAAGTTACGGTGTGGCATGCTGATAAAAAAAAAAAAAAGTTTTTTATAGCACAAAAATAGCATTGACTTTTGAGTGCCGACAGCTTTTGTGGCTTTTATCGTTTGTACCATTTTCTTCTTTACGCTTGGATGTATATAACTTTACTTACATACATCTTACATAAATATGTTTTTGTATGGATCTTGGGTCGTAATCGTAAATATTAACGTTAAGTAAGTTCATTAGACAGTTTAGATGGCAGATAACGTCCGTGTGTGTTTACTGGGTGTAATCGCACGTTAGTCAAAGGATAACGAAAAACAGTTTCGCAGCTTGACACAATCATTTTGTTCCATAAATATACCGTTGTTCCGTTAGTGAATTGCTGATGGATTTTGACAACTCGAGTAAATAGTAAATTTTTTTTTTTTTTTTTTTGTTTCTTTTTGTTTTATCAACGCAGAGTACGTGGCAAGGGTAAAGTGACGTTTTATATTTTTATTTTTATATTTCGTGCAAAACAATGAATGAGTAATAAGACCTTGAAACTGCGCGAATTGAATGAAAATAAATCTGTTCTAATTTAAGTGGCGTCTGTCAGTTGGATAAGATAATTGTAGGTGATAAAGTTATATCTCGGAGCAAAAGGACAGTCCAGACGTCGACCTCTGTGTTTTAATCGTCAAAGGAAAGGGGCGCGATAAAGGAGAGAAAACAAACATACGGGACTTTCAGGATGCGTCACGTTAGGACGAAAACAAAGTTAGAATTTGATTTTATATGTCATCAAAATACGACTTTTTTTTATATTCATTTTTATTTTTTATTTTTTTTAACAACAATCGGTATCAAAAGTCTTATATCCAAGTTTTTATTGCACTAGAACACGGACGGATTCTATCGGATTGCGGGTATAGGTGTCAAGGCTCGGCCACACCTCGAAAATTCCTGGCTAAAAACATCTCTGGCTCAGAGTATTTCTTCCGCCACATCTGAAAGTACTCTTCGCTCGTGATGTCATCGACGTCGGTCAGATTGAACTCCTCGCGCAGCGCTATCTTCCAGACCTGAAAAGACAAACGAGTGAATAAACGTCAAACAAATGAAACTATGTTTCTGTTTGGCTTACCTCGTCTTCCGGCACAGGCGTTGGCGCCGCCTTGTTTCCACGGGATCCACCTCCAAAGACGCGCAGGTGATACAGTAAGTAATTGATGGTCCTCACTTTGTCCCCTTCCCCGACGCTGAAAGTAACGGACCTGTCCGAACAGCACTCGCGACCCGGGGGGTACAGCGCCTTCGTGTAGTAGCTGTCGGGCTTGGCGACTCCCCACAATAAAACATTCAATGAGAATCCGTGAAAAGTCCCACGCTGTTTTGCGTCCCTGGTATCCGCGGGCTGAATTCCCAACGCCGACAAGTGTTTGCCTGCGATCACAGTACAGCGGGGTAAGTAAAGATATTTCAAACGAAACGGAGCAGTCATTGTTGAATTTCTTCGTTACCCAAATAAAAGTCTTCCTTTTTCCAGTATTTTCCGCCGGCAGCGCATTTTGCCGAGGTGTCAAATATTTTTATAAGCCTCTGCAGGATCCCATAACTAAGTACGTATCCGGCTTGCGCGACGTTGTAGACGTTGCCCCAGAGGACTACGGGATGTCCCAGGTAAAAATATTGCTCGTGGTCCAGAGGTGCCAGCATGTGGCGTAAATTTTCCAGAACGACAAAGGTATCGTCGTTGACAAAGATCAGCCAGTTCAACGGCACTCGGTCGCGTGTCTTCCAAACGTGACGCATCACCTCGCAGAGTAACTGCCACGACGAGGTATATTTTATGTTTAAGTTTATCACAGGCGCGTCGCTGAGGTAGCGAGAGAAAAATAGCAGCTGATTACAGTGACGTCCCCACGTGTCTTCGATCGTGGTTGCGAGTTTCAATTTTTCTACAAATACGACGCACGTGACGGGTACTTTCTTGATCAGCCATTCGGATTCCAAAGTAGCTTTGTTCCCTAGAAATAAATCGGCAATCATGGTCTCTTGGTTTAAACATTTTAATCAACTAACAAATCAAATGTTTAAATAAAGTTTTGGATTAGCATAAAAATTTTTGCACAAAGTAAAAATAGAAAAATCTTGACTCGGATATTTGTTTGGTCGTTTTTTGTTTTTTTGTTTTTTTTATTAATTTTTATATCAATGGAAAATATACGTTACACATTGTATCCACTGCGAGTGTTTTCGTAGTTTTTTCTTTTCTTTTTTTTTTTGTTTTTTGTTTGTGATAAAATTTTATATCGTATATATGTTTTTTTATTTTATATGCGTGAATCATTGAGAAAGAAACAAAAATATATATTTTGACGCAGTTTTTAAATTTACGCTGTTATCGTTTGATGTTTTAAACGTAGTTACATGCTTGCTGATAGCACAGACGTGTGTCATGTTCACAAGGGAAAAAAAAAGATAAGAGAGACTCAGTCAATGTGTATGTTCACTAGCAACAATTGTTTTTACACCTATAGACCTGCAGTTTTAATGCCTAGAAGCATAGAACCAAATAAAAACAAAATTTTGTTGAACTACGTCATGATTTCATCAATCCATGATTACAAGTAATACAATTCGTATTCAAATGTATGCCTCTTTCAATTAAAATTTAACGATTGACATGTAATTCAATTGATATAAAAAGTCTTATTGGTTATTCCATGAAAAAAAATAAGAATATGTTAGTTGCAACGAAAACATGGAAATACCCTTACCTTGTGAGGGTTGTCCATAATAAAAATCATCTAAATTAACCAACGACACGTCGACGTTTTGCTTTTGACGCCAGGCATTGTAGTTTCTCGAATATTTGGACCAAGTTTTAAATATACTCAAAAATGTTTTCGAATGATCTCCTTGTAACTCATGAGTTCCGAAAATGCGGCCAGCATAGTTGAACGAAAAAACAGTTATTATACCTATGAGAAAGCCAACGAAAAATAGCGACGGCCGAAGTATGATTACGTTCATCTTACTCCTTGAATTTTATCACCATTGCAAGACTCGATTCTGCAAAAAATTGTTTAATTAGATCGGCCTCCTTTTATTTGATATACGTTAATTATAATTCAAACGTGATAATTTATATGTATCGCAAGTGTTGAAAAATAAATAATTTTTAATAATTTACCTGTGCAAATATTGATTTGGGGTCTAAGGAAAATTTATTCTAAAGTCAACAACTAACATACGAATAAATAACAATCTTGAATCATTTTAAATTGATGTATTGTTTAAATTAATCTTACAGTATTTTTAAATGCTACATTGATAATGCCATTTTATAGAACTGACACAGCAACACACAGTAACTAAATATCTAAGACACCAGTTATCTCTTAACATGCCAATTCCATTAAAATGTGTAAATACGTGAGAGGCAGAGCGAAAGAGAGCGAATCTCGCAAATTTAAGAAAAACCCAAATACTCTTTTATCTGAATCCACAAGAGAAATAGAACCACAACTGCGCCGACTTTAATAAGATGATAAAAAACATAGACTTTTAGCGCGTCTTTCAAAGTCTGATATTCTAGAGCCATTATAATAAATAATTCGATTCCTAACTTATAACGTATGATAAGAAAATTATTGAAAAGTACAAACAGAGTTTTGGCAATATTTGACAATTAGAGAGAGGGAGGACAAAAGGTACATTTAAAAGCTGAATTTGCCGCGAATTTTAAAGAAACCTAGGCCAGTACGATTATGAACCAAAGAGCCTATTCCAACGTAATTTTCAATAATTATTGGATTATCTAGTATTTGACAACTTGTTGACAATAGATTTTTTAGTGCTAAGTGAAGGGCTTGCACGTCGTATTTCGCTTTATTGGAATCAGATCCTGAAATGAATTTAAACATTATTAGTAAGAATTTCTGCAACTGATTTGGTTTATTCAAGTGGCTGGGCACTCTCGAAGTCTCGATAAAAAATTTTAATTAATGACTTCAAGAGTGCACAGCCCCTCGAGTTTTTAGTATGTAAAAGTCAGACAACCGTCAGGAAAACATTGCTACACGAATCGCCAATAAACCGAATTTCATAATTTGTTTATTGTTATATGTTAAAATTTGGACTTTACTGTTCAATAGCTTGAAAGTTTTATGCTTAACACACATGAATGATTTAATGATGTGTGTCGGTACCTTTATGCCAATAAAGAGGATGGCTTGTAAATGTTAGCCAAGGAATGTTTCTCGTGAATGGATTCCACCTTTGATCCAGGGAAAGAGATTCACCTTTGTTCCACATCAGTCTCACTCCAAACATATTTCTACCCCTGTGTATCAATTTTAACAATGTAAAATAAAAAATATAACAACTTTGCAGCAAAAAAATTCAAGGTTGAACAAAAAATTTGTTCTGCAATACTAATAATTCCAAAGACTACAAAATCACAAAACATATAAATGAACAGACAAAATTTGTCACACACACAAAAAAAAGAGCAAGCAGCGAAACAAAATGCGAAAAAGCATGGATTTGAACCAATAATGTGAAGGAAAAACAAAGACAATGACATATTAAAGGTACCTAGGCTCGAAATGAGCTGTACTCGACAGTGACGTGATGGATGACCACTCCTGTCGAATCGCATTATGAAGAATGGTAGATACGCCTTCTGCCAACCCATTAAGACGTCTGGGAATCGTGTTTAGAATGACGTGTTAAAACGTGAACAACGTATGGATTATTTTCGTTAGTTTGATAATAATAACGAACACTGTCTATATATTACACATAGCATGAAAAAAAAAATACAATAACTTACGGTAAAATTGATGTTGGTGGGTACACAAGTTCTCCAGCAACAAGAGTATCAACGTCTGTCAAAGATATCCTGTGGTATTCAATGATCTTCAAAGATATCAAGTCGTACTTGACCCAGTAAAGTGACTCTTTGGTTAACAAGACCAATCTTTCTTTTTCTGTATCCCATATACTAATTCTGAAAATCAGAGATTCAAGTATGAGCAAGCTTGAATGGCACCAAAAAATACAACAACAATGGTGTACAAAAGTAATTGAGGTGATATTACGTGAAAACGTAATTTAAAATGAAATCTAAGTATGTATAAAACACTCACTCTGTCAAAAACCAAGCACCAACAAATTCCTCTTCTTCGGTACTGGTCAACAGATCTCTCTTGCAATCAGCCAGAGCTTTTTCTACCACTTCATTTCTGTCAGAGAAAAAGGTATGACAATCAATCCGAGCATAAGGTATACCAGGAACACCAGCAAGGGGAACTCCGGGACCTGGTAACGTTCTTTCAGTGGATGTCTCTTTGCCATCTCTTACATCTGCATTACACATATAGTACTCGCAATGACAACATTCAATTTAAATCGGAAATATGGTCCCAACAAGTATTGGTAAGAAAGTTTTACAAAAAGTAAAGCAAAAAAAATACATTCAGCAGATACGTTACTTTGAGATTCCAGAAAGGTGTTTTCGCTTTTAATTTCCAAAGTCGCTCTATCGAAATTTGGTCCTTCGTCCTGTAAAAAGGTATCGTCCATGTTTTTGTGTTGATTATTATGAAGAATAAGGATCGCAAAGGTTTCTGTGTAAATACTAGAGAGGTATTCGTTTTCGTTTCTAACAGCAAAAATTGATGTTTATATATTTTACGTGGGCCCACTCATGTTCTCATACTATTTATTCAAAATACCTCTGCCGCTGCGGTAAGCGAGTACACAATATGTGTTTCAGCCAGACTAATAAGTATAGTATTTTTGTTGGAGACAAGAGAAAAGGAGATACCTTAACGGAGTGCCTCAAAAAATTAATATGTATTTATAGGTACCTACTTTGGGTTTGACAACTTGCCGAATGATCACTTGATCAGACCATTATTAAAAAAGCTTTATAAAAACAACATACACATGCACTTATATACACGCGCATTTGCGTATTACTGTGTTAAGTACAACAGTACAACGTAGTACATAATAAATTAATAGATTACTTAATTAGGCAACACCTACATTCCTATACTTATTATTTATTTACTTGTCGAAGTTTACCATCGCTATATGCACTTTATGATCAGCGCCATCTAGCGTTGTGATTTTCGGAGTCAATATATCTAGGGGAAATCGTCTTGTGAAAAAAACCCTAGATTTTGTACTATATATTTTTTTTTCTTGACCTAGGGTTTTCCCCCAGAAAGAATTGATGATGTCGGTATCTACGCAAAATACGGGCTCTGCTATACCGACAATGAACTCAGTTACCCATTGAAGGTATATCTTACAAACCCATTGTCGGCCGTCGGTACGGTTGGGTCGATGTCAATTCAGCGCCATCTAGCGCTGCGTTTTTTGAACTACAGTGTATGGTGATTTCTTCACGGCGAAAAACACTAGGTCAAAATTTAATATATTTATAGCAATCCTAAAATCTAGGGTTGTTTTTTTCAAGACGTCGGTTCGCTGCAGACACTTTAGACCTAGTATATTTTCCTAGTGAATTTCCGTGAGCGGAGGGTCTAATAAATTGGCTCTAATAGACTCTCCGCTGCGGACACTATAGCCCCAGTACATTTTCGCAGTGAATTTATAGGAAGAGATCGAAGGGTCTAACAAATCGGCTCCAATAGACCCTCCGCCGCGGACAGTAAATTTTCCTAGTCTATTTCAAGGGAGTGCGCGCAGGGGGTCTAACAAATTAGCTCCAATAGACCCTCCGCTGCAGACACTAGTAAATCCATAGGAAGTGAGCGGAGGGTCTAACAAATCGGCTCCAATAGACCCTCCGCTACGGGCACTAGGCCTAGTGCATTTTCCTAGTGAATTTCTAGGGGTGGAGAATTCTCTGAGAGTTTTAAGTTTTAACTATAAGGGTCTAGGTCTAGGGACCCTAGACTAGGGTACTTTTTAACTCGTACTCAGCAACGCGAGATGGCACTGATTGTAAACTGAGCTGGAAAAATATATCAGTCTGGACTGTCTGGAGTGGGTATGAAGAAAGCTCGTGGAGTCAGCAATCCGGAGGCTGGACTCTCATTCTTCACGTTTTTCATGCGAGTGTTTTTAGTATAGAGATTATTATTGTGTTATTATTGAAGTACAGATGATTCATTAATATTGGGTTGGACATTAAACGTGAATAGTTTTGAAAATTTGAAATGAATCAGAAAAAAGGAAGATCGAATCTATAAGTATCAACTTTTTGACTCCTCCCCCATCGCTGAAAGAAAATTTTGATAAATTAATAAGTAAGTCACTTGGTAAATGAGTGAATGAATATAGCCTTCAGCTTTTTATTTCTCAGTGTTTTTCTTGAGATCTTGAGTGCATAGATAGTGCAAGTTGTTGCGGACGAATATAGCAAGAGTATAGCATCGACGACGTGCTCGTGTATGCAATATGCATACAAATTAATACATTATACGTGCAAGGAAAGTGATTTTACATACATACAAACTTCAACGTCCAGGACTCTGGTTTTCTCTACATCGACCATCGTCGTCACCTTCGTATCATATTTATTTATAAGTATAATGTTGAACTGAAGTAGCGACAACAATGTGTAGTGCTTATTAAATAAACATATACAGTCATCGTCAAAGCCGTTACCCGCCCAGAAATGGCTTCCTCATCTCAGCTTCGAGTGCAAAGTAGCAGTTTTTATTTAAAGCAACAGTACGAGAAATTCCAAGTTAGTACTAACAATAAGGATTTTTTCATTAGTTGTACAGAAACAGTGCAGCCCTGCAGGGTATAAAGACAAATTTACTATTAGCAACTTGAAATCCAAAATAAACAACTGACAGATTTTCGATTTAATATTTAGATCTCTTCTTAATACAATTTTATTCATTCTTTTTTTACTACAGTTTTCATTCCCTTAATTTTCAAATCTTTTATGTCTATACAAAGCACAGTTAGATAGCATAACTATATGGGTTAGTGAGGGTTCTATGTGTATTTAAGTTCGTATGTGTAAACACATACTTAAGCATACATGCAGATATTTTACTTTTCTCCATATTATGTGCAGTTATCTCCCCCACATTTGTTTTATTTCTGTACTGGAAGTAAATAATTATATTTTCAAGAGAGAGAGAGAGAGATCTCTTTGTATGCACCCATGTGTGGTGCTCTTGAATTCTGTTTCAAAATATATACCATGTCATGGTTAATTGTGGCAAATACTTCCACTCACGTTTTCTTAAATATCCATTTAATTAATTAATTGACAAACCAACTCTACATTTGCATATTTAGATACCCATCCAATAAAACAATTTTTAAACTAAACTGTTTGATTTCTTCCACCCCGGCGTCAAGTACCTACGCAAGTGCTTGAGCTCATCTGCTTTTTTTAAACGTTAGGATATACTTACCTACAGGAAGTGTTCAGGCCAGAGCACCCAACCGTGCCCTATGCACGGTCCACAGAATATACTTACGGTAACTTGTGGTCTGTAAACACATTCATGCAGTAACAATAGAGTATTCATGCCTTTGAAACGTATAAATAATTAATTTCCGGGTGTGATTTTACATTCAACATTGAAATTAATTGTCTGTCATCAGTAAATGAAATTCACAACGCACTCTTTGATTTCATAAAAAATGTTACTGAATAATATATGCACACGCCGTAAAATAAATTGCACTGATTTGATGTATCTCTTTCAAAATTCTATTATGTTACAAATTTCGTTTTTTAATCGCACACTTCAAAAGTATTGAAATTTACATAAAACCAGAAAGTAGAATGTTTTCAGCTTAAAATTTTGATACTTGCTAACCAAATCGACAGATTTTTTCACGGTATCTTATCGGCTGCCCGTCCTCATTGTATGTGTATACCTGATAAAAATTTATCAACCATACTCTGTGTAAAGCGCAGGGTACAAGAAAATCATATTTGTATTTCTCTCTCCATTTATCTTCGATTTTCTGTTACTTATCATCATCTCTTCTGCTTTTACTCCGCAAACAACTCACCTCTTTTTTTTCCCCAAGGAATGTATAACAATTTAGTTGCACGGAAAACGAGTATACTTATGAAGTGTTGTATAAAGCAGAGCTGTTGTTCTATACCCTACGTTTTACTTTTATACATACTTAGCTCGATACTTAGCTAGTTCCATGAGATGGCAAGGTATGGAATTTTTTATATTTTAAGGTCTTTCAAATTTCATTAGGAAAATTAATTAAAATGTTTTGATTGGCTCAATAGAAAAATTACCGTTCTCGCAATTTTTTTGTTTATCTTATCTCGTAATCGTGGATAACGATGGACTTGTAATACAAAAAAATTATAAGCATCGCGAGAGCTTACGACATTAGTTTAAGAGATTAAAAAAATGTTAATCAATTGGTGAGACTCTTGTTTACCAATTACACTTTAATTTGATATTTTGTTCATTTAATTACTTTATTTTATTTTCCGACTATATGATAAATACACACGTTGCCGTTGTTGTTCGCGTGTTATTATTTTTTCGCCGAGACAGGAGACTGCGAGTTTTTCTCTGATTACCTACTCTCATACTTGTAACATTCGTAGCATTCCTCTTTTTTAAAGGCATGAGAGATGTTGAAATATACCTTGAGGAAAGGAAACACACGGCCTCCCCCGTTCATACACACATGACTATATATTTTGTACGATACGCGCTACTGCGCTATGCAGTATCGCCGGCGCAAAACTATACTTTATTGAAATAGCGATGTGAAAATTAATGTTACTTTGCAACCCATGCAGATGTAAATCCCTTTGTAAATTTCCCCGCTATTATTTATATTTTTCTGTACTCGTTAGCTTTGCAGATGGTGCATGCTAGCAAAATAACCCTTGATGCGGCGTTCTGTAGAGTATCGCTGAACTAAGAGGAAGTGAAAATTAAAATAAAATTTAAAAAAAGTATATATCTTTCTGGCACAACCATTGTCGACACTGTTGCACCACTAACATGTCTGTTTTGCCATTTAACGACAAACAAATTCACCAATTGGTAAGTTTTTTCATCCTACCGCACAAGATTGTTATAATCACTTGGAATTTTGCCACCGACTGATAAAATTCCATTGTCATTTTCATTTCTTCATTTCAGAGCACTAGTATTGCCAAAGCTATTAATCCAGCTGAAACTCGCGTCAAAGAAAAACATGTGCGCAGTATCCTTTCTTGCTCAAATACATAATTATATATACTTATCATTTCAGTAGTATTGAATAAATATATATATATATATATATGTATATATCGGTATGGCTTAAAATTATTCTATACACCACCAGTAAATTAAACTTACCGGTGGAATACATTTGAAATAATGTAACTCAACACTTTTTGTGTGCATATTTAGGAAATTTTTGTACACAATGTAGAAAATTTTTTTAGCAAAGTCAATGTCCACATTTGTTCCTTAATGAATCCAATAGTCGCGATTATCGGCACGTACCAAGAAAAAGGGGGCAACATATTTTGGACGTACGTTTTGCGGCAGCAGTTGCAAGAGAACCGGATAGTGGCGTGGAAATTTTGCCACGTTTTGCACAAAATCCTGCGCGAGGGTCATCCCCGCGTCATCGCGGACTCGCAGCGTTACCGTGGAAAGTTGGAAGACATCGGCAAATTGTGGCAACACCTGCGCGAAGAGTACGGCCGCTTGATACATTTGTACATACGCTTGTTGATAACAAAGTTGGATTTTCACAAGCGCAACCCCCGCATGCCGGGCAATCTTCAAGTTACGCCCGAAGAACTTGAAGCTATTGGTGAAAACGACATAAACGTCTAGTACGTACTATATTATTATAACTTCCCCCTTTTGTTGCGCGATGGTTTGATGGCGTTATTTAATCAACTATCCGATTGTGTTCGCTGCAGCTTTCAAATGACCGTTGAAATGTTCGATTACATGGATGACATACTAAACCTGCAACAGGCTGGTAAATATTGATTTTTTTTTTTTTTTTTTTTCACGTAGCTGACGAGCTTTACCTTGAATTTGTCAAGTATACTGACACTGACGCACTTTTTTGCAGTGTTTGGATCCCTCGATCTGTCAAAATCCAATTCAATGACGCCGTGCGGCCAGTGCCGGCTGGCCCCGCTCATTCCATGTGTCCAAGACGCTTCGCAGCTGTACGATTACTGCGTAAAGATGCTTTTCAAGCTGCACAGCGCCCTACCCGCCGACACCTTGTCCGGGCATCGAGATCGCTTTCTCAAACAATTTCGCGAACTCAAAAGCTTTTACAACACAGTCATGCACATGCACTACTTCAAACACCTGATTACGATTCCATCTTTGCCCGAGGTAAATAAAGACAGGCTCGCACTATTTACTTGTTCGCCGTACGTATATGTATTTCTCATTGGCAATGTTCTTCCCTTCTCAATCAGAACCCACCAAACTTTTTGATACAAGCCGAATTGAGGTCTTACGTTACGCCAGTAGTGGTGCTACCGCCCGAAGAGCCCATAGACACCGAAGGTGCTTTAATCGACACTTCGGACACTAGTTCTTTACCCGGTGATAACGCGGAATCTTCGCTAAACGGTACAATTTCACCCGATGCCTTAGTGGAAAGGTACGTGGCTTTTGGTGAAATGCTTGATTCTTGTCCGCGTGTCCATGCTCAAAAGCAATGTTATCTTGCAGAGACAGTTTGATTGACCATTTGCACCACGAAAACGCAAGGCAGCGCCAAGAGTTGCAACGTTTGTTGAACGAGCATCAAAATATCGTTGGAGATTTGAGAAATCGTGTTCTGGAACTCGAGTCGATACTTTCAGCCAAGGTATATGAATATCACAATGAATCGCTACGAAGAATATTTAATTTGTTTTTTAACTGTCTTTGCTTAGGGAAACGAAATACTCCAAGAAAAACAATCGGCTCAAGAGATTACGAAACAAAGAGAGGAAATACTACTGCAGTGTACTGCCGCTGAAGGTTTGTCAACAAAGTATTGCACGAATCGTCTTTTTTTTTTTTTTTTTTTTTTTCCAAGTAAAAAGTTGTATTTTGGATGATTCAAGGCAATTTTATTATTGTAAATTATTTCAGAGAAGAGCAAGAATTTGGAAGAAAAATTTCAAAAACTGAAAGACGTCTACACTAAGTTGAGGGAGGAACACATTAATTTAATCAGAAAAGTAAACAGGTTTTTTTTAAATCAGGGTAAAGGGATGATTGGGAATGGTTCGCGTGATTATTAAACTTTGCTCTTTTAGAAAGCTGAAGTTGACAAACAACTTGGGAGTATGAAATTGACACTCGATCAGTCGGAAAGGCGAACTCTGGAAGCCGAACAGCGACTCGACGAACAAATACAAGGCCAGGCGACGGTAGAACAGGAGGCTCAGCGAGTCGTCCAAGCTCGCGCTGATCTGGAGGAGGTCAGAAAAGAGTTCGATGCATCGAAGACCGAGAACTTGGTATGCTCCTATTATTCCACGTATCGTACTCGTAGGCTCAGAGCTAGGGTATTTAGAGACGCATCGCGCCTTTTTTAAAAACTTGCAGAGCCTTTTGGCTAGAATCGACTTCATCACGTCGGAAAAGGCCGCGGTCGAGGGGGAGTTGCACGATTTGTCATCACAGAAGGACGAGCTGGAGATGAAAATGACGAATCTCCAGGCCGAAGCCGAGCGCTCGCTAGCGCAAGTGAAAGCCGACTTCGACGCGACCTTGTACGATTTACTTTGTAAGTCAATAAATATGTACACTTGCGATGCGAATAAAGAAAAAAAAAAAGCGAGTATAGGCAAGATTGCGCGCTGCCATAAAACAATACCGTACAAAGCGTTCTCTGTTCTAACGTTTGAACGTATTGCAGTGACGTGCTTGTCGGAGGCGGAAGCTATGCTGCAAAACGCGATGCACGTCGTTGATAACCCGGCCGTGTCTGCGGTCACTTGCACGCCCGATTACCTGGCTAGCTTGTTGAGACCAACGGACGAAGCGTTAAACAACTTGAGCACGGTTTACACCAATTACACGGCCGATTCGTCCCTGAGAGGCCAATTAATGCGCAATGCCATTCACACCGCCTTTACCCTGGCTACGTACATCATGCAGGCCAAATTCACTTCGAACACATCCAAGGATATTACCTTTGGAGACAGTGAGTATCGTTTGCCGTGGTTGTTGAAAAGCTCTCAGCTTTCGTGATGTAAATTACAAGCTGCCCCTGCTTTTGATAAAAATAATACGAAATCCGCAATTTTTTTTTTTTTTTTTTCATGCGAAAACGAAATTACCAGGGTTAACGGACGAATGCAAACAGCTGGGCTCACAGGGTTTAATCATGATGAGTTACATGAAAGAGAAATCCGCGTCAACAACGAACCAAATCCAAGTTGTTCGGAAACAGTTGGAAAAAATTTCGGGACTGGCAGACTCTCTGTCAAAAGCCCTCGGTAATCCTGAAGTAATTGGCGATCTTGTCGAAACGGAATTGATGAGCATGGACAAGGCCATTGAGGAAGCTGCCGCGAGAATTCAAGTAAGAAAGTTTCGCAAATGCACAAAATTTTCCTTCATCGTTTTATATGAAACCAGTAACAGTTATATTTGTTTGCTGATGTGTATCGCAAACTCGTTAAACTTGAACAATTTATACAAAACAAGTGTTTCCTTGTAGGAAATGTTGGACAAATCACGAGCAGCGGACTCTGGTGTAAAATTAGAAGTTAACGGAAAAATCCTAGACTCTTGCACTGATTTGATGAAAGGCATCAGAAACTTGGTGAAAAAATCACGCTTTCTGCAAATGGAGATTGTTGCTCAGGGCAAGGGTAGTGCTTCAGCTCATGAGTTTTACAAACGTAATCATCAGTGGTCTGAGGGCTTGATTTCGGCAGCTAAGGCTATTGGAACGGGAGCTAATTTCCTGTTGTACGTATATTTATGTGCTCAAGCTTGTATATTACTGTCAAGATAACGCTTTGACCAACAAATTTTAATATCTTCACTAAGGCAGAGTCGATAAAAATTAATAATTACCGCTTGTCTTTTAGAGAAGCTGCGGATGAAGTTGTTTTGGGAAATGGCAAATTCGAAAAACTAGTCGTGGCTTCGCAGGGTATAGCCGCCTCGACTGCTCAATTAGTCGTTGCCAGTAGAGTGAAAGCTGATCGAAATAGCAGTAATTTATCAGCACTCTCAGAAGCATCGCGCTTGGTTATGCAGGCCACTGGAGGCGTCGTGGCAACTGCAAAAAGTTGTAGCCAACTCGTCGAGGATAATGGTAAAAATCTTTTTTATTATACTGTTAGATATACATTTCCTTCTTATAATCTTCACATCTCAATGATATCTCATTGTTATGTTTTTAAATAGAAGGAATATCGCTTCAACTACATTGCTTTGCGTCGTTGAAATATTAAAACTATGCAAATCTCAAGGTTGAAACAATTTCATTCATAATTAATGTATTTCATGAATAAATTATTGATTCCCCGTACAGAAAATTAATAAGAAAAAAATTATATTCTAATATTTGGCTCTGTACCCATGAAGGAGTTTTTGTATACTTGATTGCAAAAATTTAGTGATACTTATTCTTGTAATAACTTTTTTCCAATTTTTAATTTTATAGAAGACATGGATATTTCTGGATTGAGCTTGCATCAAGCCAAGCGATTGGAAATGGAAGCTCAAGTGCGCGTCCTAGAATTGGAACAAGCATTGGAGACTGAACGACTGAAACTAGCCGCTCTGCGCCGTTATCATTATCAAATGGCCGACGAAAACGAAGGTTAGACTTGTAAAATAAACATTTTTAATCCAAATATGAACCAACTAAAGTATCAACGAAATCAATCATGTACGTAAATACATGCGATAATCTGTAAATATTAAAAATCTTTTTTTTCAATCAAGTATTGTCAAAAATCGATATTTTTTATTTTACCAAGTTTACTATGAATAATTTTATTGACTGCTCATAAAGCATTTTTTCTTGATCTTACATTAAAATATTTATTTTTTCTAAAAAAATATTACCAATTTCATCCAAATCAAAGGTGGTTATTGTAGATCGTGTGATAGAATTATCATATTTAATTGCATTGTAAGTTGCCATCTTAAGACCTATTGTCTGATGATGAAATTCTTTTATGTTCATACATAAGTACATAACTTTATGGTAATTAATACAAAATTCATAACACTGATTTTTTCATTAGAAATAAAGAGTATTATTAATAGTTTATTTTAATATGACAAATATTTTCTAGAATATCGCGTGAGACTAATTTCTAGCTTTAATCATTTGAACAACGGTAAGCTCTAATCATGTTAGCAAAAATATAAGTATGTCCAGAAAACGCTTTTGCATTTATTTATTTATTTTAATAAACATTTTTTTATTTTATTTTATATGAATTGTTCGCGTGTGGAAGCATCTTCAGTGTAGGGATGTGGATGGTTTTGAGTGCAAAAATATATTAAGGGAATTTTCACTCGCATTTTATCACTAATCATTTAGTGTCCATATAGTTTTCTTGTTAACATGTCGTAAATCTCCATTTTTAAATGTTGAAGAAATAACATTGTACACATCTGAATTTTATCACCGTTTCTTACAAATATACGCAATATCGTGAAAGTGATGTTTTATTAAATAATTGCATCACATAAAAAAAGCTACATTTTTTTTACATGCACTTTATAATGTACGAAAACAACCACAGATATTTTACCAATATTGTTTAGTAACTGGCAAAAAATAAGCAGTAATGCATAACAAGAATACTTTTTTTTATATGTATATTAAAGTGTATTGATTTCAACAAGTAAACTTACTATTAAGTATTACGTATCGTGAGTAACTATTAATAAAAATAGAAAAAAATCAAAGTTTTATTACTAAAACTCTTTTATTGTATCAAACAAATGGCTCATGTTTTCTTGTATTTGTATACAAATATTCGTGTTAAACTGTAATATTAACGAATTTACCCAACAAAATGTGCCTTTATAAGTTAATTTAAGTTCAAATTACAATTTAATAAATTTAATACTAAGTGAATTTCAAATTAATGGCATTGATATAAGTGAAAATGTCATCAACTCAAACAACGAGTTTTTGCATGAGTTTATAACTTTTAATACACTAAAAAAAATTTGATACTATGATCAAACTGTTTTAAATATTATTGCATTGTATTAAAGAAAAGAACATAAAATATTACATGTACTCTTGTAAGTGACAGAACTAATTTTAAAAAATACGACAAAGACTATGCAATGTTATAACCATGTTTACCTGATTGAAATAAAAAAAAATTCATAATACCTGTTTAAGTGTATGAATTTCAATGATGCAAAAATAATTTCCAGTTTAATTGAAACATTTTAAAAAAAATCTTGCCTGATCCTTACTGGTCTCATGCAGAGTCCACGAGAAAGCAAATCCTTGTGAATAACTATTGTGAGCTGAGATCCTGAGAGAAGAGTGACGTTATTTAAAAAAAAACAAAAAAAAAATTAAACTCTTTCAGTTCATTTTGATGTTTATCCACCAAGCGCTTCTCAACTTTTCGTTGATGAAAGTTGGTAGGAATGGCTTTGTCACGCAGTACCTGAGTCAATTTGCAGGCCAAAACCGCATTCTGAACATGTTTTGGCAAAAACTATGTCTTTGTTCAGTTTTGCAAAATTCTGCTTCAGAGGTGATGCTCATTCAACAAGTTATTCATATCTCGGACTTGTCTTTTGATATATTCAACAAGTTGGTATATTTATATTTATTTATACGTTATGTACCACCCATCGATTTGAAACAATTTCAGACATTTCATTAAAAGTTATAATTAGCCATTAAAAATGTCTTCATTATCCATATACTTGTTGGTAGTTAACACATGTAAATCTTCTTTTTATTTCTTAGGCAGCTAATATTGCAGGAAAAAAAGTCGTAGGAACTTGAGAATACAAAAATATAATTATTAATATAATATATGTTTCGTGGTAAAGTGTGTCGCTTGACGCAATTACTTGACAAAAATATTCGTAATGATAAATATTTTTATTACGCAATAGAACATGAAAATTTTACAATGCTATATGTGGAACTTTTTTTTCTCCAGAGAACAAGTTTAGATATATTTTTGCCTATCACACCGAGTATCTGCTTATACAATAGCAATATTCGGAAAAAATATATGTGTATAATACATATTGTTGTATGCGCATGTAAGTAACAATATATATTGAAGGAGTGTGCGAATATGTGAAAGGTTGAGTACTCGAGTCATTTTTTAGAACCTCAAAGTGACAACCAAACTTTTCAAATTATTTAGTTTGGAGTTTTCCGTGTAGTCAAAAATACATTTTTTGATTGTGAATGGAAAAAATGTAACACAATTCATTATAATATATGTACAAGGCAAAACACGAGCTGTCAACAGAAATACGTAAAAAGAGGCTCTAAAATCAGTGCATGATAATAATAAAAAAAAAAAGAAAAATAAATAAAATTTTCCTACCTCGGGCGTTTTTGAGGGTCGGGTGTGCCCTCGATAGGAAAAACAGTGTTCGGCACACACGTCCCTCGGGCCGCAAAATAGCCCTGGAGGTGATGGCACTTTTGTAACGAAAACTACCGTTTCATGCAACATTACATAAAATGACTACTTTTCAACCGATGCTAACAAAAGGGCACTAAGGTTACTTACAAGCACCCTTGTACAAAAGCACATGTACGTTAAATATTTTTTTTCTCTAAATTATAGCCGAAGCACCTATTTGCACCAGCGTATGCTCGTATGGGACTCGTATTTATTTCATGAGTCTTATAAAGGACTCAACTTAATTCATTTAATTACTTTGGAGTGTTAGAGCACTTGATTTGTTTGATTAGTACCCAGGTACTGAAGTTTCGAATAATTTAATCTGTTACATCAGCTCAAATATTTAAAAACTACATTCTCTACAGGAACCTAAAAAAAGAACTCGATACTACTAGACTCTTACTTTTCGACTGCTCGCACACCCTTAATATATTGTAATTTGAACATTGTTTGCAACAATTTTGTGTGTATTTTAGAGTATAGTACACGGTGTAAAAATAATTTGACCTATTTTAGCTTTTGATAAAACTGTACATGGACAACTGCGTTCCCGAATTTTCTAATTTTTCCTTACCAACCACTAGTACACCACCATTTCACCTATCTATTTGTGATTCATATAGTTGTAAAACGTGAATGTTGTGTAATTATGATTACGCACAAATATTTATATATCTATGAAAAAAATCATAACAAATGTGAAAATAAATATATGCAAATTGGTCAATTATTTAAAAATTAATACTACATAAAGTTGTCGTCGCAGTCTGGTTTTCATAATACGATTGGCAGGAGCGTTACTAATTCTTTGACACGTACACGCGTATCATATATGTTGTTAAAATTTACTATCGTTATTTTTACACATTTACATTTATACATGTGCAAATCGCGCGTACTTGCACGCGCAAATTAAAGATACCGCGAACTCAAATGCACGGGTGCATCGCATTTGCAACGACGACGACTACAAACAGCGATACCAAACCCAAATATGGTACCCAATTCTGGTACAGTGTATGTGTCTATATATTTACTACAACGTCCATGATGAGTAACGCATTTGGGCTCGCTGACGACGACTCACCGCGTTTGTCTATTATTGAGATATTGAACACCCGATTTTCGCGGAACAAGTATTCTAAGATATTATAATATCTCGTGACTATGTACACATGTAGGCCTTGCATGGAAAGTCTAATAATAAAACTAGATTCACATTTGCAAAGGACATTACTTTCGATACCCTCATGCCGCAAAATATAAGATGCAAACTTGTTGCTGTTACCTATCACCCTCTCTCCTTCACCTTCCTGTTTTCCTGGTATTTTTTCGTTTGTGCCCACGTAACTGCGTACCAAGCCAACTTTAGTATTCGACGCAACAACCGGCCCTACGGCGGCCGAATGCCAATACGTATTCCAAGACTCAGTGTTTTCCCGATACTCATCGCACCGTGGCATTCGATGTATCTTTTGTCCCGACGCCTTTTGCGCGGTAGAGCCAACAGCCAAGGATTCCCCTTGAGATTCTATCCGACAGTCAAAGACCAGCCGTTCAGCCTTCAGATAGAATCTCTTGTAACAGGCGCTTGAGGCTGTCGAGACCCGTAAGAAATCCGCAATCCGGGCCTTGGTGCACCGTAAGATTGGACGCCGCTGTCGTCGCCTGGTTGCGCCCAATGGTCGTGTGAGCAAAATCAATCATACGTACGTCGACGATGGGCTCGTCAATGTCATCGTCGTCCTCGTCGGGGGGTCCCGCAGTTTTGGAGCCCAAGCCGGCCTTGGCCTTGAAGCGCTTGGACAGGTTGCGCGAGCACTCTTCATCGTCGTCCTCATCGTCATCGTCGTCGTCCACGGTCGCGGTATCACCCTCGTAAAGCCGTAACCGGTGCCTGTGGTGATGATGGTGATGTCGATTTCGCTTAAGTGGACAGTTGGCTCCAAGGGGCAATATGCCTATGTCGACGTCCGAGCTCGTGTCCTCGGAGTTGACGATGGTGTGCTGGTCGCAGCAGTACTCGTCGGCGCTGCTACTGTTACTGCTGCTGCTGCTGCTGCTGCTGCTGCTGCTGCTGCTGCTACTACTACTGCCACTGCTGCTGTTGCCATAGAGCAGCCAGTTGTTGTGGGGTCCAGGGCCACGGTGTCCACCGCCACCAGTCATGAGCGCGTGCCCCGGCGGATGCTCCATAAAGACCGTATCCTCGTTTACCGGGTAAAAGCCGCTGGAAGCCTTGGCACCACGGGCTGCCGCCTCGCCAAAACCCCGGTGCAGCGCTGCCTGGCTCACCTCCTCGTGTCCCATATCACTGCTCATGCTGTAGTCGACCGAGTTGTTGCTCGTGTCGGCGTCGTAGCAGCACCCACTGGCCACGCTCTCAGAGGCATGCCGGTGCCCCGAATATTCATCCACCTGGTAGCCCTCGTACACGACGAGCAGGGAGCTGTTGATCGATTATACCGATTATACGATTACTTTGATAATATGACATTATCAAAGATTGGGAAATATTTTACCTGGCATGGTATGTTTTTTCAATTATCAAATGGTATAGGTATTTGATGGGTAAATTTAAATTGTCAGGTTTAAAAGAATGCAAGCTGCAGTCTAATGTTAAAAGTAACATCAACGTGTAAATAGGATAACTCGAATTTGGTAAACATAAAGTTAATTGGCAGTTGCACTGTGCGAAAGAATCAATGAAATTTGGCGTTTCACCGCGGCACGTAAACATTGACGAAACGCGAGAAATGTTCGACTGAATTACATAAGGCTTGACATCTCCGCCTAAGAAAGTGCAACGAAACACGTCCACGATATTAGTTATTGAATTTGGCTCGGGTGCAAAAAGTAAATGCGTAAGGGAAACCGGGTATACTTGCCAGGAATAAAAGCGATAGCTGCTCTGTATCTCGATGGCACGTCGCAGCTGTTCCAGGCGTGTCGTCACCCGCTGAATGACGGCCGTTCTCAGGCCGTAGCCATTGTGAAAGAAGCGATAGAGGGCCGCTTTGAAGCCCTCCTCGTTGAGTTCCCTACCGTAGTACTTGTCGCGCTTCAGGTAATGATCCGCATCCACCTGGTACACCTGTGAACGTGCGAGACAATTAATCGTTCTGACAATCTCCTTGATGGATTTATTCAGCGGCGACTGCACATTTTCTGTCACAAACGTACTTGCATTCCGCAGAGACGAACACCGAGCGAGGCCGACGTGCTGGCCGCACATTTGGCCATCTGCTTGCTACGCTTTTCCGCTGACGCGTCGTCCCCGTGTTGTCTGGTACCCATTTTCAGGTCCAGTATACATGGCTGCGTGTAGCGAGACGTTATGTTCTCGAGTAGCAGGAAATCTGTTTGACCCATGGGTTAAGGATACATATAAGCCGTTAAGAATTGCGGTTTTTCTTATTCGACAAGAATTGCACATTTTAACAAATAAATTGAAAGTATTGTGCATTTTTTTTTCCCCCACTGAATTAAAGGATACATTGTTTGTTTGTTGTCGTCGAGTCTAAATGCGTTCCGGACTTGAGTACATCCATTGAACTGTTCTTTCTGTGTATTCTCATTCTGAGAAATAAAAAGGTTTTAACCGATTAATAATTACAATTATTTATACGGTATATTATCAGCTAAATCGATGAAATTCGCATTTAAAGTTTATAAATATCTCGGAAAAAAAAAAAACACCAAGGTTTCATATCAGGTCATGTATGCACACGAGCCGATGAGAAAAAAGAGCCCGAGTATTCATATAATTTTTTTTTTCGTTCAAAAGATAAATACTCAAAGAAAACCCGTTGTTATTGTACGACGTAGAAATATCACCAGAAAGACAATTTATCAATGCCTCGAGGCTTATCATGGATATTAAAAAACAATCAAAAGATCGTTAAGATTGTGATATCTCTATCTATTCGTGGTAAACTCAAATTGTCTTTAAAAATATCACATCGGTCAATAGGGATGAACGAAGGAGACTTAATCACCTCAACGTAATACAATAAATTTAATTTCGACGTCAGTTCATGACACTTTTTGTCTCAAATAACTGTAAGCATCACCTTTATATTTGTAGACAAATAAATAATATTGCGCTATCGAAAACGTAATACTCTTAAACTAGTCCGGCTCATTTGTAATGTAAATGAAAATCGTTTACGTATAGTCCTGAATATCAATTTTTTACTTAAAAACACATGCGATTTTCTCAAAAACCACAAGCTAACTTTTCTCGTACTTCAAACCGAGGAACCGAGTACTACTACAAATAAGTGTACGCGTCTCCTTTCAACCGGATGTACATATGTACACAAATCCCGTATCAACATCAAGGGCAGAGCTCCGATTGAAGATTGTCAAGGAGTGCAGGCAAGTATACTGTAATCGCCGCACAGGAAAAAAGACAAAAAAGAAAAAAAAAAAAAAAAAAAAAAAAAAAAAAAAGTCGTTTCGATCGGTCGGAAGCGTAAGCATATAATAACTTACAACCGAGTGGGTGGCCTGCATACAACGTAAGCTCTCGCGCGTAAGTCTGACTCATGGATGCTCGGATGACACACGCTGCGGAACATGACGATGATGCGCGAATCGTAAAAAATACGCGTGGTCACGAAAATCGTCGAGTGCTAACCTGAGAACGTCATCGCGCTTCCTCTTGACTGAGTTTTTGCTGGGCCGGATCTCCTGGTCGCGAAAACTCGGACTGTACCGCTTTTCGAGCTTGACCTCGCCGCTGCTGGAGGCCTGCATAACACCTGGAACATTAGTAGTGGTGGGATCAGTGTGTGCAATCCTTAGGGACGAGGTAGATAGTTTTTTTTTTTTTTTTTTTTTTTTTTTTTTTTTTTTTTTTTTTTTTTTCCAAGTAAAAAGTTGTATTTTGGATGATTCAAGGCAATTTTATTATTGTAAATTATTTCAGAGAAGAGCAAGAATTTGGAAGAAAAATTTCAAAAACTGAAAGACGTCTACACTAAGTTGAGGGAGGAANTTTTTCTCGAAAAACTTAGATAAAAGAGCCCAACGTTGCAGACAACAACAAAGCGTGTAATGACGATTTTTACAAAAAATATTATTTGTTTTCTATATAAATTATCAATAAAATTGTTCTAATCTGTAAATCCTTTGATCCTAAATAATTACAATTACGACAATACGTATGTTATGTATTTGCCATCGGTAACTAATTACGAATAAAATACCAAATTTTTGCGAATTGAAAAAATATAAATCATAATATTAATAATAATAATTAATGATTAAGAAACATTAAAACGTTGTTAATTTGGTCGTAAAATACTTATCAAACTCGACCAAACAAGCACGTGACTTGATTGAGTTGATCACCATGCAACTTAACGTGTAATTATCAATAAATAAATATATGTATGTATATCTGTATATATATATATAAATGCACATATAATGTATACCAATATATTCATAACACTGCCCCCCAAAGAGTTTTATAAGACTCATTTTTTTTTTTGTAATGTTAAATTTTTGTTTTGTACCTTGAACAATAGAATTGTTCTCACAATAGGCGATGTCATTACTACCTTTACTGTTTGACAAAAAAAAATTAAAAAGAAAAAGAAAGACTATACCGCGTAATAGAAACTCAAAAAAAAAATTTCTCAATACGCATACAAATTGCGATTTAAGTGACGTGCACATTTTTATTGTTCTGTTAAACAAAAAAAAAAAAAAAATGTCAAAACTGATCAAAACCCAGGGGGGGTTGGAAAAAAAACCTGGGAAAGGTTTTTAAAAAAAAAAAAAAAAAAAAAAAAAAAAAAAAAAAAAAAAAAAAAAAAAAAAAAAGTNNNNTCTGTAGTCTCGCGAGACATTATTGGTATTTGCTCTGGTCTATCGCTTACGTTGTTATTACTATAAAATATACCACGAATAAATGAATAAATAATAATAATAATAATAATAATAATAAGTAGAAAACAGCACTAGGATAAAATAAGTATTCGCCTGATACCCGAGAACAATTCTGATAAGATAATATATATGTCAGTGTTCGAAGAGCTTTTATATAGCCTCCGAGCAGAGCATAATATTGATGATCAGCAACAAAATACAAACCCCGAGCATTGGCCAAGGAGAAGCAAATGGAATGTGTTCAGGGCACTAGTGAGTCTGCGAGCAGGCCATGCCTCGATTCCCAGACACGTATCCTCGTGACTTATTGGCTCTGGGGATACTTGAAAGAAAAGGTTGTTTTTCTAGACAATCATCAAACATGGCGCGATTTGATGCATTCATTTTGTTCACATATTTTGTTTCTCCTCCTCCCCATTGCCCCGCCAACCCTCTTTCTCTCCTCCCCCTTTCTCCATAGTCCCCGAAAAATTATAGCTTCTCCAAAAACATGTAATACTCAATCGACACCCATTGGGAAAACGTAACGTAACGTAACAACACCGATGACCTTCCTTCCGATCAAAGGATCGCGCCAAAAGTCTCGCACTGTGTATCAATTCAATAAACAAAAAAAAAACAAAAATGATGACAGCGCACGTGAGAGATTCAATCATCGGTGCAGTTGAAATTTTCGTTGTGCACAATATTTGCAAAACAATTTATTATGTGTACTTTTCCTTGCCGATACTCGAATTTCTGCACTGCTCGCGTTGTAACATTTAACGTACTTGTATACTCTTTACAATTATCAACCCTAAATTTTAACAACACCTCAAAAACTTTCATTCAGTTTAGTAAGTATAAACTATGATATTGTGAAATAAAAATTTTAAAAAAACATTACATGAAATTTACGTTAACGTTACGTAATTCATTTCGTTTGTATATATCTCGTATACTTACCAAAAACATTGAGAAATCGCAATGAAAAACGTTTTGAGAATAATTACGAGAATTATTTTTCGATATAAAACATTTAGCAAACTAGTTACAACCATATACTTGTATTGTTACGAAACGTGTTATAGTGGACGAGATTCTTTAAGGTAGACATGATAATGAAATAATATGCGTTTCGTATTTTTATTATTTTCATCATTTACGGAAGAAATCTTTTTTTCAAAAGAGTTTCATCAATGTCGATAAGATTCAATCTGACTTTTTGCAATTAACAACTGACGCATTAATTCTCATATAAGTCATAGCTCAGAAAAATTTTCTTGCAAAAAGTTGAGATTTTTGAATGATAAACATGAAAATATGTATTCTTTGATGAACATTATTTACGCACAAGAGTTATCATTGAAATTCAATGAGTGTTTTTAAATAAAAATTGTTGATAAGAAATAATTTTTTTTACCAACACTATTGTAAAAACAACGTTTTATAGATTGTCAACAATCAATATTCTTCTCAATTGAAATACATTTAAACAAAAAACGATAAAACAATAATCGAGTTGAAGTAAAATTTATTTAACAACGGAAATATAAGTAATAAAATAAATTAACAGGAACATTGGATAATAATAATAATAATAATAATGATTGCCATAAAAATAGCAACAAAAAAAAGTGTTAAGCTTTGGTCTTGCAGAAGCGCTATTGCACACACAAAATACAGTTAAATAAACACTACAGGAGACAAATAATTAGACAGGTGGATAAACGAACAAACAATCAAACGAATTTAAAGTTATGTGTATAAACCTTCGGATATAACATAGTGATGGTAACAAGTAATTAATATAAAAAATATGATCATAAGCATGAATCATTCTTGGTATACCTTCTTCTTATCTAATCAGCTCTGTTGAGAGTGAAAGTGAGTATAAAATATCCGGTATCATTGGCTTACCTTTGAATTTAGGGACAAACATTTGTATATCTTGTGGAATGTTCCTGTAAAAGTCGAGCTCCCTGCAGTTCAGTGGCTTGCAAATTGTGTTCTGGTTGAGTAACAACAATCGCGTGTGACCTCCGACCTGAAGCACAGGAAAAAAGGCAAGTGACGTGTTATTACAAAGAGCAAACAAGAAAATTATAAAGACAATTAGAGTCGAAATGTCAACTTGTACAGTTACTGATTCATACGTTAGTTCGCGACTTTCTTTATTTTACCGCAGAAAGCCATGCGCAGTATACAAATTTAATAGACTATCCATGGTACAGAAAAATCCTGTACCGGTTGCAGAAATCTCAAGACCTGTACGTTATTTTTCTATGCTCATCACTTTTGGTATAGCTTATTCTGGTAACAACAATCTTCCGTGCGTAGACTTATCCTTCTGCTCCTGTCATTTGTATTCGAAAAACACACGAGAGAGAGAGAAAGAGAGAAGAATCAAGGAGCACGTCATTGTACTACATATGTGTATATACACTTGTCGTACGAGCAGACGAAAAAAAAAAAAAAAAAAATAGAATAGAAAATTTTTGGAACTGACATCTGTCTTGCCAATGTAAGTACCTAAGTCCAGAAAGGATAAAGTGGAATTTTAAGTACATTGCGCACTTGATGCCACAAGGCTTTGTTAATGGCTTAGTTCTATAGCTCCATATTTTATTTGCTGCTGCTGCTGTTGCGTCGCAGCTTCATCGCAGAGCTCGTCCAAACAAAGGGGCGTCGGGTGACTCTCGCTCTTTCTCTTTCAATGTGGATTTTGTTCCAGCACTCTATCTATACACACACTCACTCACATATACCACACATACTCATAGAACAGGACCGAGGTGCACCACGACACCCCACCTCACAGCTGCTGCTGCTGCTGCTGCTACCACCAGCATTCGACTTAGCTCACCTGGTTGTTGAGCGGATGAAGGGCGACCTCATCATCATCGTGATCCTGGTAGCAGGACGAGGTTACAGACGGAGCACCTAATATTGACGAGCTACTGCAACTGGCATTGCTGTTTGTGGCGCGCTGCTGGCACAGCCTGGTTTCAGCTTCTCCCATGCCCCAGATCCCCGTCGAATATACCATTACCATGTACGACTGAACCTTTAGCTTGTTTCTACGATTCAAAGCCCAAGAGTTGAATGACTAATTTTTATTTTCTTTCTGTGTATTTTTCTTCCGTCACTCCACGCTGCGAGTGAACGTGCTGGTAGTTAGACTGTCGCAAGAAAGAAGTAAGTACCCTCCTTGGCAGGGCTTTACGTCGGCTGGCTGGCAAGCAATCACTAGCTGCTGCTGCCTCTAGGCACTAGGTTTTCAAAAGCTTTTTTTGCGTTCAATACGTCTGGACGCGGAGCAGCAGCCGCACCGACTGACGATCTTTGGGAACGTTGGAGCTCGCTGTGTTGGCTGCTCAGAGAGCTCGGGTGACTGCTTCTACGTGGTTGGAAAGGTCGACTATCGACTTCCGCAGTCGACTGCGGCTGAGTGCAGTAGTCGTAGTAATCGACTATTAGGACCGACTGCTTCGACTGGAGTGGAGGAGCGAGAGTTTTTTCATTGTTTATTTATCGTCAAAGCGCCGAGATGGCTCCACGGAGTGCAGTTTGGTCTTTTTTTTCTAAAATTGAAAACGGTTCGAAAGTTAAGTGCAAGGAGTGCGAGAGTAAGGGGACTAATTTCACGCTGCAGTTCAAGACAAGCACAAGCATGATGTTTCTCCACGTCGAAAGCGTGCACAAAGTTATATTGCCCAAGCAGATTCCATCGGGTGGGAAATCGAAACGGAAGAGGATTGAGGTAGAGGAAGAGACTGTTGACGAGGACGACGACCTTCTTGGAGAGGTTTCAGAGGTTGAGGTTAGTTGCATACAATTATACTTCTGACTCGCCGTGCTTGGGCAAACTAAACCTTGCCTCTACGTAGCGTTAAGCGTAGTTGCGTATGATGTGATGTTAGGCCAGGCGCGTGATTAATTTATCCGTTGTATTCGTGTACATCCTCATCGATTTGGTTTTTACAGCAGGAGTATCAATCTCCATCCTGCTCCCGCCGTGGCTCGCAATCAAGCTCGGCTTCGACTTCGACGCAATCATCACATGTTGCCTCATCTGCTTCTGCTACGCCCAGGAACTCTCACTGCAATTTGGAAAGAAATGAATTCGTTCGCGGGTGAGTCATATTCAGCCTGTTTATGATCCTTACCTCTTGCTCTCATGGTCAGAACTTTATACTAAATATTTTTTTTTAATTTTGGTTGTAGATGGTGGCTCAAGGAATGCAGAAGTTACAGATGCTTTGTTATTTATGATAGCTCATGACAACATGCCATTGAGAACCCCTGAAAAGCGAGGTTTTAGAGTGTTTTGCAAAAAATTGAACTCCAGGTATGAGGTACCCTCAGAGCCAACAACGACCAAGAAACTGGGTGTCAAGTATAGAGTCCTTCGGTCAAAAGTGAAGATCATGCTTAAACAAGCAGAATCATATTCTCTTACTACTGACATTTATACGCACAAGAATACCACTGTAAGCTATCTTGGGTTCACGATTCACTTTTACAGAGGTGAGTGTGGTAGCGTTTTGCAGTCCTGTTAATGATTAACTTTAGTCATGTTTTGAATCTCATTTATACTGTTTCTGTTTGATACCTGCAAGCTCTAAGGAAATAACTCTTGAAATCAGCTGCAGGCCCCTCCGAGAACGTAAGACTATTTTTAATCTAGCCAAAATTATGAGAAGTGTCAATGAGGAGTGGGGCATAGAAGTGGATAAAGTAAATGGTATCACTACTGATGGTGGAGCCAATATCAAAGGGGCAGCTAAGGAAGTGTATGGAGTGAACAAGCATTTTTCATGCATGGATCATATCCTCAACCTCATCGGCAGCAAAGCTCTAGGACTCCACGGCTCTAAACCTCGTCCATCTGTTACCTTCTTCAGAAAGAGTGAGGTTGCCACTAGTGAACTTGTAAAGCTCCAGATTGAGGGCACAAATAAGACTGAGAATGATGCTAAACGGTTAATCAATGAGTGTCGCACTCGTTGGAGCTCAGGGGAAGCAATGTGTGAGCGTTTTCTTGAACTATCTGATCCAGTGGGCAGGACTTTAATGAAGGTGAGCCTAGACAAGTCAAGCAGAAGTGTGCCTCCCGACATGCTCACTGTGTCTGAGCTGTCATCATTGACTGATGCACAGACACTCTTGAGACCTTTGACTCTAACCACTAAGAGTCTCAATAGTGCAAAAACTGTATTCATCAGCAAAATCATCCCTATGATCAATAGCATGCAATCGGTAAGTTACATGCCAATATGTGGCCAGTTATTATTGCTCAATCATTTTTCAATCTTTAATATAATACTGTTTGTGTTTTTCAGCGGATTCAAAAATTTCAACCTAGCACTCCAGTAGGCTTCAACCTAAAGCAGACCCTCCTAGATGACATCAAAAAGTTTTTCGGCAATATTGAGAGAACCTCGCTCTATGCAGCTGCGACATTGTTGGACCCTCGCTTCAAGAGGGTGCCCTTCAATTCAGATGTTGCGATTGCTGAAGGAATGGGCTACATTGGTATGCAACTGCAAATAATTCTTGAAAATTCATTTCTGGGAGTTTGGAGCTAAAGTAATTTTCCCCTTTTCAGCCAAACTAATGAATGAGCGAATGAACGCGGTTCGCTGTGAGGCCGAGGCCGAGGCGGAGACCAACCGAATCTTCGGTGGCCTTGACGATCCAGAGCAGGTTGCTGAACCAGACGATGACAGCGACGATCTCCTGGCGTCCTTCGATTAGAAAGCCAAGGACTTCACCGCAAGGAATGCCGCAAACCGAGAACCAATCACGGGAATCCCAGCCGAGCTGAAGCAGTACCTTGCGCTGCCTGTGGTTAATCGCAAGGCCAACCCCAACGTCATGCTGGTCCTTGAAGGGCTCAAGGAGACCTTTCCAAACGTGTGCGCCGTTGCACGGCGCATTCTTAACATCCTAGCCACTTCTACCCCATGCGAGAGATTGTTCTCGCACGCTGGAATGATCGGCCACCAGCTTAGGTGCCGCATGCTGGGCCGGCGTTTAAACGAGTTGGTTTTTTTGATGTCTGTAGACGAAGAGGACTGGTTTTCTGAATTTGGGCTCCTTTAATTTGCAGGGGAATGTATATACCTATAGATGTATATACGCAGATGCTATGTAAATTCTATAGATATATATACATTCCCTGCTAACCTTACCTTGACGCTCCGCCGCTCCACTGGTTTCGGCGTCAGCATCTAGATGTACCTAACGGATTGTCCATGAAAGTCGATTATAATCGACTTTAATCGTTCATTTGGGTCGATTATTCCTTGACAGTCGATTTTAAGTTTTCGACTGAGTCGACTTTCCGATTAATCGACTATTGCGGTGGCTTTTCCATCCCTACTGCGTGGGTGTGCTATGTGTGCTCCTCCAGTGTGCAGAGTATGGGGGGAGCATATATACAGTACAAAGTAAGAGCGCCTCTTCCGCTCCTCTCCTTTTGCTCCCCACCTATTTCATCAGCTGGTGAGCTACTCGTGAACGATTTAACGATCGTCCCACGGTATTATATATGTACGTATACGTGTACGTGTGTTATTTGCACTTATATGTATATATATTATGTATATGTTGCACGACCACGACCACGAGGCACGACTTCTGCATATCTAGCAGTATATATATATATATATGCTTATAAAAGTTCTGCTTTGCTTGCTGCTCGCTCAATTTTCTTCTGCTACTTATATGCTTGGTATCAACGCGCGTGGCGAAGGTGATGTGTGGGTGTTACAATAAGTACACGAGGATCGATTGATAATATCTTGAAATACAAGCTTTGCAATACGACTGCACTTTGCACTGCACCAGATTAGTTTTGGTACTGACTAGTAGTATAGAGAGTGCAGGCTTTACTTCTTGCTATGCCCGTTTTTTTGTATACTCTGTGAAACATCAGCTGTTGGCTCGACAAGTGAATGTTAATCTCCCAGTTGCATATACCTACGTACGCAAACATAAGTTCCTGTAATCACTATAAGCATGTACATACAACATGAGACTTTGAGCAGTTTGAGCTCACTGAATTAAGTCCTTTACCTTACCATAAGCAACCAACCAAGCCCCCTGATTCTGTGGTCCTTACTTTTACGATGCTGGTTATTGTCATTTATACAGAATTCCTACTGCTGCTACTGCTTTTTATTCCGTTATGTTTTGATGGTGGTAAGTAATACACTCAACTGATTTTGTTCCTGTTCCTGAAACATGTATACATGAAAACATTAAATAAGAATATAGTATATATAGCTACAACCAAAATTGATCAAGTTCCTCACTAGGTTCTTTCATGCAGTAACAACGTTGTCATGTACTGTAAAGTCTGTAAATGTCCTCAGCAATGAGTCAGTACTGATTTCCCACTGAAATGTTGAATTCATCATAGAATGCTTTGCTCATATTTATTATGTTGGAAGATTTGTAAAAATGTTTCCTCATAAATAAATTTCGTAGCTGTCACATTGGAGAGAAATATTCTGATTTATTCTGTTGGCAAGTTTTGCATGCTCAAAAGAGATTAGCTGAATAACTCGGGTCGATTTACTTCCCTTTCCTGATACCTAAGTATTAAGTATTCGTGGCAGATTAAATTCACAAAATTGATTTTCAGAACGTGTGTTAGCCCAATGCGAAAGTTAAGAACTTGAAGAAAGTCAATTACTTGAATAAGCCATGCCAAATTGCCGAATGTAAGTAAGTATAACTTTTGTCAGCTGCTTTTGTAGCGAAGGCTGACTATAGTTTCACCACTGTTAGGGCAGTTCCACGAATCATGTAAAAAAAGTGATCTGGGAATTGTGGAACAGTTCAATAGGTCAGTTCGATTCGAGCGTTCCTCATCCAAAATTAAGTTGCATCTCTCTCTCTCTCTCTCTCTCTCTCTCTCTCTCTCTCTCTCTCTCTGACAAGTTGCCGATATAGAGGTATAATAAACAATTTAAAAGGATGTGTAAAATCACATGAGTTTTTGAAATTCCGAGTTGTAATTAATTAATGTATTTCTTCGTCATTTTGACTTTGATATTGAGTAATTTTTTCATTTTATACATTATAAGTACACATTACATACGCCATCAAGCCGTGCTTTTCACCCTTAATCATATAGGGACCTTATGGTCTCTTTATGTTTTGTGTATTTTATCTCTTTGTAACCTTGTTTATTATTATTTTTTTTTTTTTTTTCTTTGTCTTTTAATTTTTATTTTCTTGTGTGACGCTTGGCATTTCCAAAGGGTGAATCTTGAATCACACTGGACAAAAAGAAGCTAGAAAAAAATAAGGGTACTTTTACCGTTGAAATTATTTCCTCGAAAAAAAAATCTTTAAGTGTATTTACCGGGAAGTGAACTTTTGACTTCACTGAATGTTGAGTCCCAACATTTTGACATGGAAAATTATTTGTTGCATGTCCGTTAATTTTGGAGACTTAAAATTGTTTCTTCAAAAAAAATCAACACTTCTCGGGGGAAAATTCAAAACTTTACGATGATAAAACTCTACAAAGATATAAATATATAAAAAATTTATCAGAAAAATGACGATTTAAAAAAATAAAAAGTTATATTTACACAATTTTTAGGCAGTGATGTGAAAAATGTAAAAAACAAGAATGTTTGTCAATAAATAACAAATTATTATTATTCTTAAACCATAAAAATAAGAGTTTAACAATATTTGTCGGAGCAATAATTCTCCAGGTTACGATCAATTGTAAATTTTGCTCTATCAAGCTTTTGTAAATTTTTATTTTGGATTTTTTTTTTTTTTTTTTTTTTTTTTCGACATTAATTCAACAGGTAATGTACGTGTTAGTGTATAATTCGCAACGCCTCACGTGTGGTATAACAAGTGCACACACGACAACTTCTCGGTTATCGGACCCGCCGAATCAATACCCCAGCACTTGTTTCCCTCCTGCACCTCCATACGCCAACAAACGTGCACTGCGACTCTATTTTTGCGACTTTACTCCTCACGTCACGAGCTTTATTTTCACCCGTTACAATAAAAGCTCCCGAGCTTACGGCCATTGGCATACGTATATATGTATGTACATACTATATACAGAGTAAAGACACCGGTTGGTCTATACATAGAGGAAATGAATGAAACGAGCATCACGAGAAAACGGAAGGATGTTCGTTGACCTCTCGGTCGGGCCGGTTTCAAGGCGGTCCGAGAGCGGAGGCTGCACTTTTGCGCGTCACCCTGGGAGATACTTTTCGATTTGGTCATATGTATACCTGGTGGCGTCTTTGTAACGTTTACGTGGCAAATTGCGTCACGCGACGTAAGCACGGCTCCTCCTCGCGCTCCCTACCCGCGATTGTTGATAAACGCTTCCGTGTTTGTTTTGCACGAAATATGCAATATATGCGTTCGATTTGGTCAAGTGTTTACGGAAAGCTTCTACATACTTCAAGTGACTTTTTTTCTTTTCTTTCTTTTTTTTTTTTTTTTTTTTTTTTCAAGCTTGTACAAATTATCTTTTTGGTAGAATAATCAGATTTACTCATATTATTCAAAATTAAAAACTAATAACTACAAAAGGTTACTGACTCCAAACTTTTATTTACAATTATTGAATGAAACTTTTTTTTTTTTTTTCTTTTCTTTGCAATTTTGAGATTTTAAATAACGTATTTATTACTGATATTGATTTCAACGAGAGTTGACTCTCATTTGATGGTATTTCATTGATCAATCGAATTTTGAACCAAACTACGTTTAATGAGACCCACATAATTTCCAGCGTGATAAGACATCTTGGAAAGTTATTGTATACTTTGCAAAAGCACTCGTAATCACGATTTTGTTTAAAAATAAACACAAAAATATTCAAGGATGGATTTAAATCGTTACATAAAATAAAGTAGAGATTCACGCGCATGAAACTAAATTTAGGCACATTATTTGGCAGTTTTGTGTACTACATGAAATTTTGAATTTGTAGTTTGTAAAGTTTTGTGAGCTTGTACGACAACTATTACTTAAATATTGGAAGAAAACCATGCAGCGGTAGGGTTGATTTAAAATTTTTTTATTTTGTATTTTGAGATACGAATAATTTAGTAAACTGTACTCTTTATCCGCATTTTTGCACTAGTGTTGTAGATAACTTATTGAACGGATACATTTGTATTGTAATAAATAATAAAGGTTCAAATTTTCCTAATTTATCTGATCGGGGAAAAAAATATTTTACTTGTAATGAAATTCAGTAGTATTATACTAATTAACCATACAACTTTTTATAAATTCAAAGCACTTAGTAAAAGCCGATAAAAAATTTTTCTGTTGACTCAGAAGTGATGTAATAATTAAAATTGGATACAGTGGATATACAACAGCTGACGCACGTCTATTATGAGGACCATCCGACCATTACGATTAGTACAAAATACGAAAATAAAGAATCTTATTTTAAATGACTTTTGATAACTTTATAGTTAATTGATTGCGAAACTGATAAATATTAAGCGAGAATAAATGAAAACGTGGTTTTCACAAAAAAAAAAAAAAAAAAAAAAAAAAAAAAAAAAAAAAAAAAAAAAAAAA